TAATAAATGGCACATGCATGCGGAAAGTGGCATATAAAATAAACCTACATCAACTGAAAGAAATTTATTTAAAAAAATAGGTTTATTTAGTTTAGAGTGGTAGTTTTGCTTTAAATCTTTTCTTTGTCTTTTTACTGGCGCAGGGTACTGCAGGATTTACTGAACAGCAGTGAACTGGCACAAAAAAACAGCTTAACAGTGTTTAAACATGCTTTTAAAAGCAAGTAATATTTTGGAGATAATGAGAGGTCGTAAAAAAGGTCAGATGGTACAATTCTACATAAAACAACGGAACAGCGAGACCCAAAGAAGTTCTGAGTCACTAATTGACATGTCTAGTCAAATGGGTTGCTTGTTTTTGTTGTGAGCAGGGTAGACACCCAGTTACTCTTTGAGTCATTCCTTCCTATTAGGTGCCACAGCGTTAATCTCAGATTTCTACAGACTCTAAAGTTGAATTCATCGCAGATTTTCAAAAGGTTGAAACCTGAACAGAGTAAAATTAAAATTAAAATGTTGTCCCTCCCAAATATGGTTTTAATTTTGAAATTAATTTAGGTTTGATTTAAGTGTTTACAATATCAATTTACATGAGAAAACACAAAAATAAATCCATATTGTCGGCAGGGTTGACGGCATTAAGAAGCCCAAGAAGAGCCCCTTGAATATTTTATTTTAAACATATGTTTATTAGTTTTTTTTTTGAATTTACAAATTTAACAAATTAAATTGAACATTTTTACAGGCATGAAAACAGCAAACCTTTTCTCCCCTTTCTCCGTCCCTTCCCTTCTTCCCCTGATGAAGTTACACAGTAAAACTAAAAGGACAAAGTGAAAAAAAGCAAAAAGGAAGAAAATATAATAATAAATTATAAATTAAGTAAATATATTAATTCATAAATGTAGACAAATATTTTTAATAGTTATATGACAAGTTTCGATGGTGCTTCTCAGGACCTTGTATCGCACATCCTACTCCCTTATAGAATTTTTCCCCTTGAACATTTATTTTTAAGGAAAATGTGTTTAACTCATAAATTATTTCACAGACCTTTTTCATGTGTGTAATCTCAGAATACCATAGGCCTGTCTATTATAGTTTAAGCTCAATTCATGGATTTGTTGCACCCGATTGCAGCTGTTTGTTTGTTTACAGAATCTAATCTGTGAACGTTCATCAACAAGATGATGAGTTGCAGATTAAGTCTAATGCAAATGTGGGTTTATTGCAACTGATCGTACATATGCAAACATTTCTGATTATTCTACCTTAAATAAAGCACAGGCTGATATTTGGGAAAATGTTTGCTGATTTGTGAAAACACACAATTATGTAAAGTCTTCTAGCATTTAAGGATTAGCTAGAGTTTAACCTTGCAGACAGATTGAATCAGGGGTTTCCAAACTGCAAGAAAGCTTCCATACATAGCGCAGGTTTAGTGAAGTGTGATCCAATCGCTCTGCAGTTCAAAATCATCTCTCAAGTGTGATGAGGCTCCTGATTGTCTCTTCTTTAACCAAGTGATGGGTCAAAATTTTTAACTTGACGATGTCTGGGTTAAAAAACTCAGCCTTTAGGGTGTGTGTCAGTTTTTTGCAAGGTTGTAGGCTCTGCGATCACAGTCACTGTGTGTTATAGCATCAGGTGATGAAGTAAACTCTCTTTCAAAGGGAAAGGAAAATAAATATCATTATAATTTTCTTCAAATGCAGCCAAAAGCTGTTCTGTGAATGAGACACAGCAACTTTCATTGATGTGCCCTTGGCTGGTCCCCTCCAATTCCTTTTTTATGCATCTAAAATATTCTTTTTGTCATGATTTGTGGACATTAAGATCTAAAGAGAAGCGTTATCTCCTGGTCAGACCCTGTAATTCAGTTAAAGGGTGGAGTCAGAGTAAAAAAATATGCATGGAAGTTGGAGGGGATTTTGCTGCCATTCGGCTGGCTTTAAACTGGGAAGGGCCATTTTGAAAGGCTGCTACTGTAAGCATGTAAGGTTAGGTAAGGTTAGCTCGGCTAACTTTTGTTTAATAAATACCAGAACAATCCATTGGAAGGCTGTCAGGAAAGTGAGAGTTTTGAGCAGAAAGAAAATGATAGCTATTTATTTGTGGGATAATTACTGTATACTGTATTTGATTTGCTTTAAATGGTAAAAGATAAAAACATATCTTGTTTTTTGCTGATTCAAAGCAGTGGTGTAACTTTTTTTGTCTTTATCTGCCCTTCTGGCTTCAGGCTCATTCACCTCCTCCCTGAACAGCAGGCCCATGCCCATGGAGGAGGAGAGGATTGCCACTGCCATCCCCACAGAGCAACCTGACAATGAAAACCCTGACCTACCGGCTCCAGGTTCAAACCCAGACTGGAATAAAGAGAGCGAGAACAGCTCCAAGACCCCATCATCATTTCCTGGTGAAGGTATGAGATGAAACCTGCAAATGGAAGCCCATAAATCTTAGATTTAGAGGTGCAGAATCAGGTTGTTTGACATTTTTCATAACATATAAGCCACTAACTCAAAATGGTTGCATGCTTTTCTGAAAAATTTTCACATCCTGCTGGCGTATTATTTGTTAATTTTCAAATTTACACTTTGCTCTTACCTAATGTGTTAGTAACCTGATAATCATGTCATAAACTCTGCATCACACTTATAACAACAAACCAGAATACGGCGTATTTCCACCATATATATTAATGCTCTGAACTTCCACATCAGTGCCTTTTTCACCATGTTATTTTCTACCACACTGTTTACATTTGATCACTGCAGCACTTTATGGAATGGAAATGTTCATTTACCCTCTGCAAAGCTGTACTAAATAAAATGTTGTTTTATATTCTGTGTATAAAAAATGACAGTAAAAGTAAATAAAGCCCTATGTGTACTGGAAAAAATTGAAATCTAGATAAGTAATTTTTCTTAAAATAAGAGTAGGGATGCACGATATTGGGATTTTGGCCGATATCCGATATGCCGATATTTTAAAACTCATGTAGC